GCGGACAGAGAAGTAAATCAGGGACAGGCTTGGCTTGCAGAGCTGCCCTGGGACGGCCACCAGCCTGGGTGTCTCTGGGTCCTGAGAAAACCTGGGTAGTGGGTACATGGCATTTGTTGTATTATTGTTCCTACTCTCCTGTGTGTTGGAAGCGCTTCATCCTGAGAGTGGTTGTTATCCGGTTGTGTGGGAGGAATGCAGGGAGGAAGCACCCCGGGGCGGTGGAACCTGGGGCGTTTGGGAGTCCCGCAGGCTGGCTGTGGGAGAGGGAGAGGGGAGGATTAGGAGCATTGGGGGCCCGGGGGCTGAGGGTGGCTCTGCCTGCCCTCTCCACGCAGGCTCCCTGCCCTCCTCGCTCACCCTCCCCTGCTCCCCTGTGACAGAGGCAGGGGCTTCAGCCCAAGCTGGTGAGGGAAGAAACCCCTCGCTCAGTACAGCCCTGTCTGAGCCCCCTTTCTGCTCTGCTCCATGGGGTGGGGCGACCTAAGTGACCCCAGTGTGGTGGAGGTGTGCTCCCCTGGAGATTTCTTGCAGTTCCAGAGCTTCTTGGGGCCTGAGAAACAGAAGTGATAATCCACATTGGTCCCCAGTACCTTCAATGGGGCTGAGAGCACTTGCTCATCCAGGCAACCCCTGTTTATAGCAGATGAAATGACGCATGGTGACAGTTAGCTCTCTGAGCCACACATGGGAATGGAATCTGTGTTTCATGTGTCCGACGTGGGCCTTGGGGATACAGGGCGGGGGCTGGGAGGTTAATTTCATACAACAAAGAGGCCCTTTGCTCTCAGTGGCAAATCTTTGAGCATCTTCTCATGGAACTTGGCAACGATGCCGGAAGCTGAAGATGAAAAATGTATTACAGAAAGATAAACCAGTGACTTCAGCTGCTGAGAATAAATTCAGCCACCCCAGCCTGCGACCTCCTAGTTCCATATAAATCAATTTCTTGACAATTTTTGTCCATTTCCCACATACAGAATAAGCATTTTAGAGGTGTTCACCTAGATCAACCCTCCTTCTTTCGTTTCCTGCAAACAAAGAAGGCTTGTATGAGAAAGCAAGTGCTTCTTGCCATCAGAGAAAGTCGGCAGCTGTAGACACTAGAGTATGAATTTAAACCGATGTAGCCAAGTAACACTGGCAGGAGAGAGATGAAGTGGGGACCTCATGTTGCCCAACTTTATTTTGTGTGTTAAACTGACAAAATGCTTCCCCCAATTATCCATATTATTACTTAAATCCTTTTGGTTGTATTGCTCCTGCCTAAAATTAAGGATAGTTAAACTTTGGACTCTATGTCTTAAACTTTATTTTTTACCTTGATGAACTCTTTATTCTTTTAAAATGAAATTAGGATTTAAATACTTTGTTCTTAGCTTGGTCCTGAAAATCAGCATGCTACTCTTTTATGGAACTTCAGGGGAAAAAAAGCCTACTAAAAAATACAAACCAATGCCATTCTTTCTCAGTTAGACACACTCCTTCCCTCATTGCCTTGATTCCACGGATCCAGAGTAAAATAAGCTGAGTTGCATTTTGGGGTAACTAAGTATTAGTACTTTCTAATGTACTTGTCAGAGATGTGCTATTTTAGACTAGAATGGAAAAGGTGGGCTTTGAAATGACACAACCCTGGATTGGAATGACAACTTTAGCAGATGCTGTGACCTTGGGAAAGTTCCTGGTCCACTCAGAGCCTCTGTTTTCTCATCTATAAAGTGGGAATATCAATACAAACCACTCGGATTAGCTGTGAGGGTAATGGGGAAATATACCATGGGCCAAAAAAAAAAAAAGGTGCTATGTGCAGATAGTAAATGCTCAGTAGAAGTGAGATCTTCCTATTTCCCTAGAACAGCCCCCCTTCCCTCATAGAACCCCAACTCCTCCCAGAGGCATCCCAGGGAGGCTCAGAGGAGGGGCCGGGGAGCAGGCAGTTGCAGGGTCAGCCTATTGGGGACGTGGGAGGAGGGTCAGCTGGAAGCACAGAGGAGCAAGGGCTGAAGGGGAGCCAGTTTCAAATGAATGAGGGGAGATCAAGGCTGGGAAGTCTGCAAAGGGGAAGACCCCAGAAAAAGGAATCATTTCAGCAGGAGGGGGTGGGAGCCACCTGGCCCTGTCCCAGCTGGTCCCCCCCTGCAGGCTCAGGGCCTGGGTGGAGCGTGCATCACACGCCATCGGGGATCCATGGGGGAGGTTCTGGAGGACACAGGGACTCAGGGAGACACTCTGCCTAGGAGTGAAGTTTGTCCGGCTGGTTCGAGTTTTCTTCTCCAGGTACTGGGGGGAGGTCAGGGGCTGTGGTGTGTTTTCAAGCACCCTAACCACACCGCACAGCCTTCTGAAGACAGTTGGTACTCGGGAATCGAATGGTAGCGTCCGTAATCTGGAGGCACGAGGCTGACCCAAAAGTTGGTGGGCTTGTGTCTGAGGGGCTTGGGAAATGCGAACAATCATACAGAGTAGTTTTTAACTTTATTTTTTACAGAAGGAATTTGGAGCTTCATCACAATAAATAAATGGGCCCAAAGTATTTCGGACAGAAATGTCTGAGCAGAGATTCCAGGTGGCCCCCATGTGTCTTCAGGGGGCAGATGTGAATGGGCGCATTGCCAGAGGGTCCGAGGACGGCTGGGGACGCCTTTCAGTTTTCCTGTCTCACTAGTCGGAGTGAGGGGCTTCTGTCTGGGCCTGGTGACAGTTTGGGAATCAGGTTATGAAATAGGGACTCATCTGTACCCCCATCAGGCCACTTCCCTGGTGAGGGATGCTCCACTAGAAAGGGCCAGGCTGTCGTTCACTTCAAGGTCATTTGGTTTGGTTGCATTCAGGATAATTTTATCTGCATTATACACCATTTGATCTGTTCTTCTTTTTAAAAACAAAAACATGAACTTGAGTCTAATCATGACCTTCTCTTTATACCTGTCCTGATGTGTGCCTTACCTTCCCCTCTACCCTCTGGACAAGGGCAGTGTGCCTGCAGGCAGCGGTCAGTGTCAGGCGTCAGGGCCAGGAGAGTGAAGCAATTAGGAGCATCCAACTTTCAGTTATAAGATGAGTAAATTCAGGCATCGCAGGGACGGCTCAGGGAGGTTAACGATACATTGTATAATTGTATAATGGTACTGTATAATTGACATTTCAAAGTGTTCTCAACATACAAAAAATGGCAACCGTGTGAGGTGATGGATGTGTTAGTTGCTTTTGGCAAACATTTCACAGTAAAACTGGAAAATAAAATAAAAGCATCAAGCTCCGGAGTCAGGTTGTTTGTATTCAAATCCTGATGTCACCTCTTATTGGCGAAGTCACCAGACACTACTCATCTGTACAGCAGTAACCTTGGCTTCTCAGGGGAGGATGAGGTCATCAATGTCAAGTTCACAGCAAGAGCACTCAGTACACATAAGCCACTGGAGCAGGTAAAGCCCTGTGCAATGACTCCTCAAGTCCAAGTTTTCCACTCTGGTTGCCCGGCCTCTGTTAGGAGGGTCCTACTTCTGTTGGAGTCCTGGGAGCTCTTTCTGCCTGTAATGCCAGATCATCCCAGTCTGACGGTCTGTTCCGTCCGTCTGGCAGGCGAGGCCCTGGATTGGTTTATAGCCCCCATGCAATCTGCCCAGTGTTCTCCGAAGGTGACATGTCGTAGCTATTATTCCTGCCTGTCAGAAACCACGTAGGGACAATTCTTTTCTGATGACGACGAGTCATCCCCGCCAGCCTGAGTGTGGGCCCTGTGCTCCGTGAGCTCCGACCCTGAGAACTGTGTGAACTGTCAGATGCCCCACTGATCCTAGGGCTCACCCACCTGTCCTCCCCGGTCTCAGCTCTCCCACCGGACTCCCCCCAGCTCCTTGTTCACTCGGGGTCATGGTCCTGACCGTGTACCTCAGTCGTGCCACCCATCATTGATCAGGCTCAGCACGGACTCTCCCGTGCCCTCCAGTCAACGCCCTCAGCCCACGGGGTGGGGGAGGGGCAGTCACCTTGGTTGCGCATCATTGCCAGTGAATCGTGTGTGGGGTATGGAGTCATCACTTCAGGTCATCACGCGAACCGTGAGAATATGCCTGGGGCCATAGAGTGAGAGAGGTCCGGGGGGCGTGGGGAACGAGGGGAGATGTGGACCTGCAGCGAAACCTCACCGACTCCCCACCTTGTGTCCAGTTTGGTCTTGGTCGTGCATGTCAGTGTTTCTATGGTGACTGTGTTGCGTGTGGCACTTCACCACGTTTCTCAGCTCTGCTGCCAGCCTTCCCCAGGCTGTTAGTACAACTACAGTGTCCAGTTGACCCCGCCCTGAGCAAAGGGACATGGGTACGTGGACACAGTCCTAGACGTGGAAGAATTGTGGTAAAGTGTCACAAAGACAGTGTCTACTCAATGTGGGACATTGGCTGTCACTTAACTCTTCATCTGTAGTTTCTGAACTGGAAGCTGTTGTCTGTCACTTGTGACACTGCTGCCACTTTGTCACCAGGGGGCAGCAGTCTGAGATCCTATTCTGAGATCCAGAAAAACCCATGACTTTTCCAAACCACACTTAAAAATTGAAAACTATATTAAAGAATTCAAAGACTAAACAGTAGAGTAGATAATCTTATGGAGTAAGCTTTTTAAAAGAAATAAACTCCTAACTTTACTGGCATCGATATTGCTCTCACTAAAAGAGTAACTCTCTAGAACAACTGAATCCAAAACTGTTTTAACATTCAGTCCCAGAGCAAATATTTCACTGGTCTTAGCCTATAGATGGGCTTACTAATGCCTCCTGCCTCCCACCCCGGCCCAGGTAGGTGAGATGGACTCACTGTACTTAGATGATTCAAACTAACCCCAGTCTGCTTCTTTAACATAACAGGTCCGCTGCCCTGCTGAGGTCCCACCCATTCTTCTCCAGACTCCTCTGATCTCCCAGCGGGCACACGAAAAGAAAGAGGTGGGCTGGCCGTGCAGCTGCTTCTTCGTGCCAGCACCTGGCTTTTTCTCTGAAATAGTAAGGCAGTGGTTTTCCACTTTATTCGTAAATCAAAGGGAAGCATCTCACACAGTCATTTTCCTAACAGCTGCTGGGGGCAGGGACATAATGGCAGGGAGCCCTTGCAGCCTCCAGAACAGACCCCCAACTTCCCAGTGTACTCGGGAATGTGGGTTTTCTTGGAGAGAGGGCTCGGTCTTCATGAAGAATTTGCAGGTGCCTACAACCTACTCCCCCAGCAAAAGTGGAGTTTCAGGGAAGTGTGGCTGGTGATACACATGAACTGTTGTTATGAACTGTTGTTATCAGCTGTGTAGCATTTGATAGAGCTCATTTGCTAGCTTTATAAACTTGCAAACTCCTCCAGGTCCTCTCTACACTGTTCCTCTTTTTCAAGGCTGAATTATACTCTCTTGTATGTATACAGCACATGTTCTTTGCCTGGTCATCTGTTAGCCCTTGGGCTGTTTCCAGGTCTTGGGTTTTGAGAACACTCTTGCAGAGAACACGGGAGTGCAAGCATCTCTTGGAGATTCTGATCGATTCTTTTGGACAGATACCCAAAAGTAGAATTGCTGGATCATCTGGTAGTTTAATTTTTAAGTTTTTAAAGAACCTCTGTATTGTTTTCCACAGAGGCTGCACCAGTTTGCATTCCCACCAGCAGTGTGCAAGGGCTTCAGATTCTCCATATCCTGGCCAGCACTTGAGGTCTTTGCTTTTTAAAATAATGGCCATCCCAACAGGTGCGAGGTGCTATCTCATTGTGGTTTTGATTTGCATTTCCCTGATGATTAGGGATGTCGGCCATTGTAGGTCGTCCTTAGGAAACTGGGAGTTTCAGAACATAAGAGTAAAACTGTCCCAGCCCTTCCGTCGATGGCTGTAGCTCAGGCATAGTGAGAATCTTGGACAAACCAGAGACACTCACTGTGTCCCCGAGGAGAGAACTCCTGTTGCAGGTCTCGTTCTGGTCCTCCTGAAGGCGAACCTCTGGTTTGCTGATGGTGGGTTTTCAGGGGCTGCCACGGACCGATCACCATGTGCCTCTGCACGCAGAGCTGAGTTATGCTCATGGGGCTCCCGATCGCTCCCCAGAGAACCTGCCTGCCAACAGTCAGCCGCACAATCAGTGTGGACCCAGGTCTTTGTCCCTGACCTGGAAGGAGTGGAGGGCACACCCACTGAGCTGGGTGTGCCGAGTGAGGCAGGGGCATCCTTCCTGCTTTCACATCCTGGAAGGGAGGTGCGAATTCAGCTCCTTGGTTGAGTAGGCAGAGGGTTCTGAGAGGGGAAAAGATGCATTTCACCAGGAATGGGTTTAAAAATTGGCACCGCACATGCACAGAGGAAGGATTCGGCAGGCGCAGCTCAGTGGGGAGAAATGCAGCGATGAAAATGCTTTCGAGAGTCAGAAAATCACGTTTCCACTATAATCACTTGTAAGCTGGTTCCTATAGTGTTAGATCTAACTTAGGTCTTTGCATTTTTTAAAAAGTGAGCTACAAAGAGTCAGGAAAGAGAAAAAAATGAAAGGAGATGAAAACTATCCCCTATGTAGGAAAGATAAAGAATAGGACAAAAAGGTTCAAGAAATCTTGTGTCTCCTTCACAATTTTTAAAAGACAAAGGTGTGGAATGGATATAATAGCAAGTGAACATCATGTCTTAAAGTGGTAGTCGACAGTATTCAAAGATTAATAGGCAGTAACGATGCTGCTGATCGGACATTAAAAGCAGTTATTGAGGCCAACCCAGCAGCCAGGTGGAGCTCTGCTGAGGGAAACAAGCCAGACACAGACAGACAGACAGACAGACACTGTGAGGTCCCACTTACCTCTGACGCCTGAAAAGCTGAGCTCACAGAAGCAGAGAGTAGAGTGGTGTTACCAGCACCTGGGAGGGTAGAATGTTTGTGTCCCCCCCCAAATTCATATGTTTAAATCCAATCCCCAATGTGATGGTGCTGGGAGCTGGGGCCTTTGAGGGTGATGTGGTCATGGGGGTGGACCCCCTCATGAATGCAGACGCCCCTTCCACCACTGGAGTGCAACCTTGGGCCCTCACCAGACACCGCATCTGCCAGTGCCGTGATCTTGGACTTCCAGCCTCCAGAACCGTGAGAGGGAAATCGCTCTCGTTTACAAGCCCCCATCTTCAGTGTTTTGTTACTGCAGCCTGAACAGACACTCACTGTTTCTTCTTCGTCACCTTTCAAACGTTTAAAACTCATAACCACTTTTTCTTCCACCTGAATCAAGACGGTGGTACCATTCCAGCTAAGGAAACCTGTAACCTTCCACTTGCAAAGCCCAACGAAGAGTTTTCAGGCTTCGGCTCACGGACCGACTGCTCTCATACCCTGTGACCCTCCCTCCACCTGGCTCAGGCCCTCTGCCACCTCCGCCCGTGTGGCCTCTTCTCTCCACCCTTCAACACCGGAGCCACAGGCGTTTGTCTCCCGCCTCGCTCTACTCTCCCACCACGTTCTCTCCCTAGTTAATCTTATTTACCTGGCACCTAAATAAACATTAATGGTCTTTCCTAGATCACCCCACAAACTCTGAACACATTTTGACCATCTCTGAACATCTACCCCCATAGGAAACTTAAGTGCAAAGTGTCAAAAGCTGCGTTTACCATCTTCCCTTCAAAATGGTTTCTCCTCCTCCTGCGACCCCTGCTTCATTTGGCAGCACTGCCGTGTGCCTCCCCCAAGCTAGAAATCTGGGGAGTGTGCCAGCTTCTGCTCCCCCCCCCCCCACGCAGTCGGTCTCTAAACTCTTCCACCATGACCTCCTAGCGTTCGGCTCTAGCCCTGCTGTCCGCTGCGCAGGCTCGGTCTGATTTGCCCTGCTGTCCGCTGCGCAGGCTCGGTCTGGTTTGCGCTCGCCCTCGTGCCTGTTGATGGCCCTCGTTACTCTTCTCACTTCTGCTGGGTCCTCTCTCCACACAGGCACTGGAGGGATCTGGGAACATGTGACCGGGTTGCTCTTGTTCTTAGAAACACTTCCATGGCTTCTCGTCCTTTCTAGCAGCTGATTTAAAAACATTAGGGGATCGCCTGTGCCTTTGAAAAGTTTCTAAGAAATACGCCGAGACAGACACTTTGAAGATAATTGTTCAGATTTCAGAGAGCATTCGAGCCCCGGGTTAAGATGTCCCGGTCTGCAGGCTCCAGGAGTTGGGGAAGACCGCCCCGATCCCGCCGCACCTGCCGCTGGGCCCACTCCCAGTCTCCCGCCTGACACTCCAGCTGCCCGCCCAGGCGGCCCCCTAATACCCGCACTGCATCGTGCTCCTGAGCTGCCTGGTGGGCTGTTTCTGCCTGGACCCTGACTTCCCTGCTCCTTGGTGCGTACCTGCACGTTCTCCAAGGCTCCGTCCTCCGGGGGCCTTCCTGGACTCCTTCCCTTCCCCTGCTGTCCTCACTCTGCTGGTTGAGTTCATTGTGTCTGCAGAGCAAATAGAGTGACACGGCTCTTGAATACATAGAGATCATTCAAAGTAGTGCCAAGCTCAGTCTTATATTGCTGCCAACAAAGGAAGACATATTTTTCCTGTCTTTCTCAATGAAGGAGCTGCAGCGACTGAACCAGTTTCCTCTGGAGTGTTCAGCAGTAGAGCCAAATAGAAGAAGACTTCGATTTTCAGCCCCTCAGACGGCTCTGTGGTTGGGGGGCACCGACTTCACGCATTATACACTACTAGTCACTGGAGTGGAAAATCGCATACAGCCCCGAGTGCTAGAGAGGAAGCTTCGCTCACAAGCAACTCCTAACCTGGAAGATGTCAACATTATTCTCGGCGAATGGACAGGGAAGGTTAATTAACACTATGGAAGCATAATTATTCTCTCAATCAGGTCCCCCTCCAAATCACTGTGAAAGTCGATGCCACAGCACTCTTGGCCCGTGCTGCAGCCCGGCAGTGGCACCGCGGACCCTGCGGAGGGTCACAGGGTGGGCGGCGATAGACACTGTCAAAGACAGAGGACACATTTAGAAATAGCTGGAGTTCCTTTATGACAGAATAAGAATAAAAGGCAGTAAAAACTACCCAAGGCTGAAGGAGTCACAGAAGCAAACAGAGAAGCCATTATGAGGAAGGCAGAAGGGGCTGGGACATTTTGATGAAAACTACTAAACCGAGTGCAGAATTTTCAGAAACTTGTCTCTGGGCAGATTATGTTTAGTACAAAAATAGCCATGATGTTAGGTAATGGATTCCTGAGCATTTGGGAAGTGGAAGGTGGTTTAGATGGCAGGCAGCAGGGTTATCTTAATCCCTGCTCTGTCATGGTAGGAGACTGACCTTGAATTTGTCACCAGACCTCCTTGGGCTTTGGTGTCATCACCTGCACAGTGGGGGAGTCGGCCTGAGTGGTCGCAGATGTTCTTCCTAACTTGGCGATTTCGTGCATCCTGACTGTAGATAGAACTGCATGGCCCCAGGCAGACAGTCTGAAAACACACTGTTGAATAAGATTAAAACAAGACAAGCGAACAGAAATAGACCTCTCAGTTGGCTATAGATAGGGTTGACCTTTAGCTAAATCTGGAGCTTGTTTTATTTTTATTTTATTTTGTTTGCTCTTCACCCTTCTGGTTGGAGCCCTGCTACCCGGGCACCCACACCAGACTCACTTTGCTGCCCTCTCTGGCTCCCAGGACCCCACAGAACCACCCAGAGGAGCCAGACCCTGGGCTCCTTCCTGATGCTGACAAGTGTTCTCTGACTCCTGGGGCCCCGTAGTCACATCTCTGCCTGTTCCCACGTGGTGGACTGGCAATCAGAGAGCCATCCCCGCTCACAGGCAGCACACCTCTTGTCCGAGTGGGAAATAACATAAAAGCAGGCCCCGTGTTCAATGGGTGGGCCAATTACCTTTGGGTGCCCTCAGAGAAATCCCAGATTATAGCCTGGACTTTCTGGTTCTGCCACTGACTAGCTATGTCCCTTTCTTGCTCTGTATTTCAAGCAACTTTACATGTAAATAGGAGAGTTGAGGGTCATCTTCTCCCGATCTTAGAAGCGTGCTGAGATGTCCCAGTGAGGCAGCAGACAGGTCTCAATGAGGCAGCAGGTCTGACGTTGCTTAGTAGCCTGCAAACCCTTCCCCTGGTAGCAGGTGGCAGTCTTGTCATCATTGTCACCCAGGCGGTGGGTGTGGCAGGCATGTGAGAGATGGATGAGGGGAGCCAGGGACACTTCTGGAGCCCTGCTTCTAAATCGCTCCCCCCGCCCCCTGGAAAACGACCCTGGAATAAAGTGAGAGTTTCCTCCCCTCTGAATCGAATGCATAGTGGCTACAATGTTGATTTTGCTCCAGTTCTGTGCTGTTCACTTTACGGAGCATAGCCTCCCATGGGGTGGACTGGCGCAGGCCCGGAAAGGGGCAGGAAGTTGTTCCAGGGTCCACGGCTGCTATAAAATGCAGCAAAGCTGCAGACCTCATGCTGTCTGACCGCCAAGCTCCGCTGGGGCCACTGCTGCTTCCGTTCCAGACGCTGTGCCCACCGGGAAAGCCATGTGGTCCTCAGCGACCTTTGACCATTGGGCAGGTCAGACACTGCTGCCACAGGACCTTGACACTTGCTGTTCCTAGGCCAGCACTTCCCTTCCTATAGTTGTTTGCATGGCCCACTCCCTCTTTACACAAGGGTCCCCTTCTCAGCAGACCTTTCAGACCTTTTCCCCTGCAGCCCACCTCCCCTGCTCTGCTCTGCACCTCACGGCCCCCATATGTGACGCTCCTTCTCGGAGCTTAGAAACTGGGTTCCGATGCAAACAGCAAGTGGTGCAGTTTCTGACCTTATTTGTTTATTATCTGTCCTCCCCTCTGTCTGGGAGGGCAGTTATTTTTTCCCTGTTTTGTTCCCTGCAGGATTGCCAGCTCCTGGGTCAGTGCCTGGCATGTGGTTGGCATTGGTGAACATGTGCTGAGTGAAGGCCGGGTGTCCATAGAAGCAGATGGTGGGGTCGAGGCGGTGGGTGGGGAAGAGCTCAACAACCAGGGAGGCTGAGAAAGTTCTAGCTGCTAAAGTTCTGAAGTTCCTCCAGAGCAGTAGGGTGTCCAGGCCACAGCCGGACATGGCATTTCTCCTAAATGACGTGTCCCCTCTGCAGCCGCAGGAAGGGAGCAGGACCAGCCCACAAGGCAGTGTCCAAGCCGATGCTGTGTCCATACAGCACACAGAGTGGACACCATTGCTGAGTCACCCATAGTCGTGCTCTCCAAATTGGTCTTGAGCCCTGGGGCACACCTTGCACGTGATCCTGATGGTTCTGGGGCCCAGAGGCCTGAGAGACAAACTGGGCACAGCATCTCTTCAATGCAGAGCCCGAGGTGAAATCAGTCCCTTGTGCCTCACAGTTTCCTCACTCCGTCTCTGGGATGTCACCGATGCGCTGAGCTGGTGACACAGGGCTGTGCTGTGCCCGTGAATCATGAGCGCTTGTTGGTGGGCAGGGGCTGAGAGCAGGCGCTTTTTGAGTCGGGATTCCCGGGTCCGCTCTGGGCTCCAGCACTCAGGGCCAGCAAGACGGTGGTCACCTTACCCACAGTGCCCTGCACTGTCTGCCTTATCTTCTCCGTAGGATTGTCGAGAGGCTTAGATAAAGCTGTGTAGAGTCCCTGGAGCTGCGCCTGGAAGAGTGGGAGAGCTTATCCGCTAGGTCTCTCCAAATGGGCAGGAGAGTGTCTGTGCGTGGGCGTGCTTGCTGCCCGTCTTGGGGAGAGACGGCGGAGCGAGGAGCCAGAAGCACAGCCTGAGACAGGTTGGAGTGGCCGAGTTAGGGTAATGGCAGGTGACAGAGGAAGCCTCCTGCACAGGAGTGCTCTCGAAGCTGGCCCGGAAGTACACCATTGGGGTTTCTGGTGATTGAAACAAGGCGGGTGCCTGGCCGGGTGGGTCAGTTGGTTGAAGCTTTGTCCTGCACATCGAAAGGTTATAGATTTAATCCCTGGTTGGGGTGTGTATGGGAGGCAACCAAATGATATTTCTCTTTCACACCAGTGTTTCTCTCCTTCTCCCTTTCTCTAAAATTAATAAACATATCCTCGGGTGAAGATTTAAAAAAATGGAAGGGAAGGACTAAGTTAGTAAATATAATTGCAAACACATACTTGGTAACTAAGCAATTTGGCCAAGATCCCCACTGCAGCGAGGGAATTTTCCCCTTGAAAACTGGAATCATAGCGATGATGTCATGCATGGCTTTGGAGGGTGTGTCCGAGTGTGGTGGTCTCTTCACTGCTGTCTGCGAGGCCCTGCAGGTCGGTCAGGTGAACACGCAGGGTCCGAGTCCTCCAGGCGCACAGAGGAAGGTCACTGCAGACGGGGCGCTCTCACTCGGTCTTTCCATGGCCATCGCTGAGTTTGCCCGTCAGCCCCTGTCAAGGCCTCGGTCCCAGCATTCGCTGTACTGCGTGCACTACCAGCCGAGGCCGTGCTCAGTGAAGTGTGCAGCCCAGGCAGTGAAGCGGGGTTTCCTGCTGAGTCTTTGCTCTTCTCCGTGTTGGAGGCCCTGTGGTCAGAGGAGCGGTGGAGGGAGGTGGGGAAACACGCGGGCGGTTGCTCTACCGTCCTCCAGCCACCAGCAGCGCGGTGCTCTATTTCTTCATCTCCCAGACCAGACGCAGGCACGCACACCTCCCGCCTGTTTTCATAGACCAGGGTGATGGGCAGCTACTCTGCTTCCTCTGGTCTCCAAAAAGGAGGAAACAACTCCCCATTGTGTTGCCTTCCCCCGCCTCCCCAGAGAAATCTCTTGTTTTTCTATTCCTTCCCCAGAACCGTCATCCTCTCCTTCATTTGTCATCACTGGCCATGGATCCACTTCACAGAGCTTCAGTCACTTGTGGACTGGTTAGGACACGCACATTAAAAAACAACCACATTCCTCCCCCACCCCCTCTTGTTTTAAGATGAAGAAAATATCCTGTTGGTTTGTCCATGGCTTGTTTGTTTCTTTCCTGTAAGTTGCCTTTGAGATCATAGTGGGCAGGGTTGAGATTAGAACATTCATTTTCCACTCAACCCCACGAACAAGAACTTTATCAATTCCCCGAACAGCTCTGTTTATAAAAATTGGTGAGATTTGGGCCAGGTTCTTTCGGAAACAGCCTCCCATTGTGAGAATCTCAGATGCAAATGGTCGTTGAGTCATAGTTTGCATGGATGGAGCCAGAAGCCAGGGTCCCCCGGGGTTGACACGGCTTCAGTCTTTTTAAATATGAACTGCGAACCTCGGGGTTTGGGCCCAAGACAAGGTGCTTGGGAGGCTGCCCTTCCTTTGTACAGGCTGAGAACACAGTGGTGTTCCTGGATTCAGGAATTCCTGGATTCAGGAATTCCTGGTACAAACACATGTGTGTTCACACACACACACACACACACACACACGCACACACACACACACCCCATTTACCCAGATCACGGGGCAAAGAACTGCTATTTCAGTGACCTCGTAGGTGTGGGAGGGTATGGAGAAAGATGAATGAACTTGACATAGCAAAATGAAACACAAGGAGAGAAGGTGTGGCAAGAAAAATAAACACACCATCGGTGGGCTGCAGGACAGCTTTTTGTGGCCTGCTACCTGTGCAATTGGAGTTTCTGAAGGAGAGAAGAGAGAAGGGAAGACAACAGAAATAGCTGAAGAAATAGGCAGGGAGAGAAGATGGAATCTGGGCTCTCAGGCTGGGAGGGTTGGGAGGCTGGCCGAGAAGCAGCAGGCTCCGGAGTCTCCTCCGCTCCGGCCCAGGTGGTGGGTGGATGGCAGTACTGACCACTCAGCAGGAAATAACGAAGATGGGGCTGGGTTTCTGGGGTCAGTAGAGGGTGGAAAGTTTAATTTTGGCATGAACGTGGTGCAAATTTGACCCGCATTGGGAGACATTTGATGTCTTCTTCTTTTCTTTTTCTAGTTTTGCGATTTTGATACCTACTGACCGGAGATGATCTGACAGTGTGCCCCATTCTACTGGAATGGAGCATCTGACATGGTAGCAGGAGGCCGGGACGGGGAGGGAAGAGGTGTTCGGTGTGGCTCTGCCCCTGACCAGCCAAGTGGTCGAACGGCAGGGCACCCTGTCTCCCCCGCCCCTCCTGTAGGCAGGCTGCATGGAGCCTCCTTGCTCTTAGGAAAGATAAAAACATCTACACTCGTCCCAGGTTTACTGAATCAGATTTTCCAGGGAAGAGCCCAAGCACCTCTATTTAAATTTTAAAAACTTTTGACATATTTTAAAAGGCACAGAGAAGATGCAAGAATCATACAAAGAATTCCCAAATGACCTCACCTGTATGGTCTAGATGTGAGCATTTCACACGTGTGTACTGGCTCTCTCAGCACATGCCACACACACCACACACACCACACACACCACACACATACCATACGCCACACACACCACACACATACCACACACACACCACACACCACACACACACAAAGTATGTGTCTCTTAGTATGTGTTTTCTGCACTATTGTAGGGAAAGTTGCCAATATCAGACATGATGCCTCTTTACCTTTAAATATCTTTGTTTTCTAAAAATCAGGACTTATACAATATAATGATCACAATCAAGAGATTAATATCAATAAATACTGTTATTAACAAACTTACTCAGATTTTGCCAATAGTCCCAACAGTGTTTTTTTATGGAGGAAGGAAGCCCAAGGCCTTGTGTTGTGTTGGCGCATCTCGTTAGCCTCTCTTCCTCTGGAACAGTCCCTGAGGACTTACTTTTATGACTCTGGGCTCATGAAACAGTGCAGGGCAGTGATTTCCCAACACGGCCCCCACTTTGGGCGTGTCACGATTCCTCGTGATTGGGTCTGGGTCATGCACTCTGTGCCATCTGCTGTGCCAAACAGTGACGGAGCGTCTTTCTCTACGGATCAAGTCCCTGGAGCCCCGAGGTCCCTTAGCTGCATTCCTGACAGGGGTAACTGTGGTCACTGGTGAAGGTGGTTCCTGCCAGACTTCTTCACTGTAAGGTGATTTTACCCTTTGTAACCACTAAGTGTC